AGAGTCACACAAGGGTGGGAGGGGAGAGATTCAAGGTGTTGGGAAAAACGTAAGGAGAGCGATTTTGGCCCTGTGCCAATGTTTGCTGACCCAGCCTCTCCTGGAGGACCGGTTCCCTTTTACTCTTACACCCTTGATGTTTCGTCTATGAAGTAGTGAGCACGCGGCCTATCTTCCTTCTCAGTACAGAGATGTGAAGATATCTCTGTGAGAAGTTTGTGGATGGTAGTGTTGTGTGCTGAAGAGAAATTATCTGAGGCACTTGCCCTTTCTTGTCATGTTCTTTCAAACTATATGACTTAAAGGACATCCTGCACGTCTTGAAGAGTTGGAGATGAGATTCACGGGAGCTATGTGTGTTCGATGTCCAGATATAATATCATGCAATGCAAGATTCATCTTCCCCGAGAATTGTGGCTAGAGGACATGTGATTTCAGTTGTATTGGGAGCCCTGGGAGGTTCTTCCTCTAGTTTTGCAGGTGTTGGCAATTCTTACCTAACACTGAATTATGTACTTGTGTCAAGTGCCGTAATAGGAGCCTGGGGAAGAGCAAACTGCATATTTTCTACCTACTAAATACCTGAATTGTGTATGTACTGCTACTGCCGTAATCTTGAAGAGTGTGTTGTGATCCCTTACTTTCCACAGGTGTTCTCCTCTTGCCTTTTTTGTTTGGATGATCTGAAGCTGGGCTTTTGTATCTGAGAATGGCCGGTCTCGTCTGATCTCAGAAGCTAAGAAGGGTTGGGCCCGGTTAGTACTTAGATTGGAGACCACCTGGGACTACCAGAAGCTGTAGGGGCTTTAGGGCTACAAAGATGATTGGGGGCCTGGAGCATCTCTTTTATGAGGAAAGGTTGAGGGATTTGAGTCTTTTTAGTCTGGAAAAGAGAAGCACTGAGGGGGAATCTGATCAAACCCTATAGATACTTATAGGGAGGGTGTCAAAAGGATGGGGCCGGTCTTTTTTCAGTGGTGGCCAGTGACAGGACAGGAGGGAATGGGCACCAACTTGAATATAAGAATTTCTGCTTAAACATGAGGAGGAACTTCTTTCCTTTGAGGGTGGCAGAGCACTGGAATAGGCTTCCCAGGGAGGTGGTGGAGTCCCCTTCTAGGGAGACATTCAAAACCTGCCTGGACACATTCCTCTTCAACCTGCTCTAAGTGGACCTGCTTTGGCAGAAGGAGTGGACTAGATGATCTCCAGAGGTCCCTTCTAACCCCATGTGATTCTGTGATTCTGAATCTGATAATGTGTGGGAGATCTCACCTGTTACATTTGACTGTTCAGTACATGCCTGTCATGTTTACAGCTGTCAAGACATAGACTTTCATGGACATGTTTCCTTGAAATGTTAACTGGACAAATGCTCTTGCTTGTCACATACACATGGTGAGAAGTCAATTATTATCCATGGGAAGGAGAAGTTGTGTCTGCAACTTTTCTTTGGCTGCAGTCTATCTGCGTCTTTTAAAGAACAGTGACAGTGATGTGAGCTGTGAAGGCTTTGAACAGAGTCTTGGGGAAGCTGTGTATAAGGAGGTATCTGTAGAGACATGGCATGTGTTTTGTTAATTCCCAGGGTTGATTGCTGGACTACAAGCCCTCTGAAGGTATCTTATTTATTGATATCACACTGCATATGTTCCAGCTGGCCAATCGTTGGTTCATCAGTTTGCTTTCCTGTTGCATGCTGTTTCCGTGAACGGCAGTTATTGAGCAAAGATGTAGAATTTACATTTGATAGTCTTTTAAGCTGCCCATGTTCTGTCATAGAATGATGGTGTCTGTAATGACTGGGCTGTAAGAACATTTGACATTATTTCAAATTAATGTGATGATTAGAGAAATCTCTGCACGTGTTCATGTTTGGAACGTTGTTGTTTCAATGGTGTCTGTCTGCAAAGGAAGCTTTTTGTTGTGTGATGATTAGGAAGGGTGAAAAAATTGTGTCTGTCCGGAGACACAGCAGCTGAAGAAGTTCACCATGGTATAATTTGCAATGTCCAAAAATTGTAAAAATATAGTTTCTCCCAGTTGTTGTATGAGGTCCACAGTTGAGGTTCCATGCATTTTCCACTTTTGTATTGTCCAAAGAAATTACCTTGAAGATCTGTGGCTCTGGTCTCTGGTGTAAGCTCCTGTGTGAGTCTCATGTGGACTTTTTACCAACTAGATACCCTTCTTGTGTTGCTCCTAAAACTGACATGATCTGAAATGTTAAGCTTGCATTCCTTCACTTCTCTGCGTTTCGCATTATTGCCTTGGTTGCTGGTGGATAATTTTTTATTATTTTATTTATAATGCCCTTGATTGTTGGGGTATTTTTTTTTATTATTTGTGTGTGTGTGTGTTTCTAGTTGCAAAGCTGGGCCTTATTTTGACTGCTAATCCTTTAAACATTAAAAGATCTCTTGAAATTGTTCTGTCGGTAGCACAGTTGCCATCCATACTTTATAGGTGTTCAGCTGCTAAAACAAAGATTCTGATAGAAATCCATTTCCTTAATATGTCACTGAATTACATGCTCTTTGGCCTGTGGCTGACATATGTCCAAAATATTGAATGTTGGCCTTGGTGCAGAGAAGTAATTACACTTTCTTTCAGGCCTTTGTCTCCTGCAAGGTCGTGTTTTATACTCCCCATGTCTGCCTGGTTCTTTTGTATTTGAAACTGTGAGTGTTGTTTTGCAGCAGACACTTACTTCCCTTGGCAAGCCCTCAGCCATGTAGAGAAGCCCAGGATGACTGAAATTGGTTTTTTTTTTTCTCTTACTGGTTTGCTGTGTATGTAGGTTTTGTTTGAAAAGTGGCATATCTTTGTTGGGCTACATGTTGTGGGTTAGTGATTCTTGCTCATCCTACAGTTTTTGTGGAGGGCAGAAGATGTGAGGTTATATCTATGTTCTGGTTGTGGCAGGGAGAGGAGATGAAAGCATGAAGCCAGTAGAATTTATTACCTGTACTCTGTTAGATGACTGCTCCTCTTTTAGTTCAGACATTTAACATTCATGCGGTTTACCATCATTCTCTTTCTTCTCAGAATGTTGGTGAGCAGACAAATCTACCTCCCTTTTTGGTGTGATCATGGTGCATTATACTGTCATGATATGTTTTTACCAATTCTGAGTGTTGTAAGCAAAGCTGCAGGTTGTGTTGGGTTGGAGAAAGGACTTGGGGAAGCTCCGTTAGCAGGTGGGGCAGCAGAAGAACTGATGGTCATTTCCCTACTTGTCATAGTTACTCCATTGGGCACACGGTTGTGGTCACATGTCTTTTAAGCTGCCCATGTTCTGTCATAGAATGATAATGTGTGGGAGTGGGAATTTCTGTTCCTTCTGCTCAATACGTTCAGCCTAAGAAATATTATTGCAAGTTATCCGTTCATTTCTGTACATTTCTCACTCTTGCCTTGCTTGTCATGAGCTACAGCCCGTCCTCAGGGTGTCTGATGAAATGGGGAAGGTCAGCTCGGTTAATCCACAACACTGACACCAAACTGAGTGGCGCAGTTGATTTGCCACAGGGAAGGAATGGTGTCCAGAGGGAAGTGGATAGGCTGGAGTAGCTGTTCCTTGTAAATGTCATGAAGTTCTAGAAGGCCAAGTGGAAGGTCCTGCACCTGGGTCGGTACAATCCACAGTTTCAATACATAGAGGGGGAGTGAGAGCAACCTTGTGGAGGATGACTGGGGGTGCTGGTGGGTGACAAATGGGACATAAGCTGGCCATGTGCTGTCGCTGTTCAGAAAGCCAGTCATATCCTCAGCTGCATAACAAGTAGCGCGGTCAGCAGGTCGAGGGAGGGTGTTCTCCTCCTCTACTCCACTTTCATGTGACCCTATCTGGAGTGCTGTGTCCAGCTCTGGGGCCCACAGCTGAAAAAGATATGGGGCAGTTGGAGTAGGTCCAGAGAAGGACCAGTAAATGAAGAAAGGACTGGAAGAATCCTACTTGCTGTGTAGAAGGGCTAAGAGAGTAGAGGTTCTTCAGCTTGGAGAAGAGAAGGCTCTGGGGAGACCTTATTGCACCTTTTTATAATATGAAAGGGGACTTTATGAGAAAGAGAGAAACGTTTTTGTCAGGGTGTGTCATGACAGGATAATGGGCAATGGTTTTAAAATGAAAGAGGGTAGGTTTCAATTGGCTCACTGTTTTTATGATCGGGGTGGTGAGACACGGAAACAGATTTCCCAGAGAACTTATCAATGTGCCATCACTGGAAAATCTCAGGGTCTAGTTGGACAGGGCTTTGGGCAATGTGATCTAGTGAAGGATGTCTCTGCCCATGACAGAGGGGTAGGACTAGGTGATCATTAACGGTCCGTTTTGACCCAAACCATTTTATGCTCCCCTGAAAATGTCAGCTTGGCTTTGACCTTTCTGTTGTCAGACCCTCAAGTATAGAGAAGGAAAAGAAGAAAATTCTATTAATCACAAATGAATCAGTACGTATTCTTCTGCTATCTTAGCATCGAGCTATAGACACTATCTTCAGGGTGACAAATTTCTCAGTGTAACTGTTGTTCTCCCTAAAATAAAAATCAACAGTGGGACAAACATCGGAGACATCCTTGAGCAAATGGAAGAAATGCAGGGAAGACAGAAACAACTTCCAGACATGACTTATACTTAATTCTATTTCTGACTGTTTATTGATTACACCAACACAAATATTTCCTTCTAAGATTCATCCTAGGTGAGGAAATCAGAATTGAAAGGAATTGACAGAATGCTATAACGCTCTTAAAGTCTTCCCTACCTATAAAATATTTCTTCCTCTTATACTTCCACCTGGATTTTGTAAAGAGCAACTGAGTTCCTTTATTTACTGCTCTGCCAGTAATATTTCCAACCGACGATTCGCTGCAGCTGAAGGAGATGACCCAAAAGTACGTGGCAGCCTATCTCACTTTTAAAAGCCTTTGGAGTTGCAGTAGGATTCGCTGCTCTTCCTCATTATCATAAAAGAGGAACTTAAAGCTGGGGACGGACACTGAACACCAGCCGAAAGCCTGGTCCCCCGGCAGCGCGGTCACCGGCCGGCTGCAGTATCGTGGCGGCGCCTCCGGGTGCCGCTGTTGGCCGACGCGGAGCGGCGCTGGAGCCGCAGCCGCAGCCGGAGCCGGCGCAGCGTCAGGAGGGAGGAGCGCGGCGAGCGCTGGCGAGAATGGCGGTCGGTGAGAGGCAGCGGGAGAGTGGGAGCCGGCGGCGAGCAGGCGGGCGAGTGCTGGTGCTGCTGCTGGGCGCTTTGCTGCTGGGCTTGTGCTGCCGGGCGGCGGCGGCGGCGGCGTCGGAGCGGATCCGCTACGCCATCCCCGAGGAGCTGGGCAGAGGGTCGCTGGTGGGGCCGCTGGCGCGGGACCTGGGGCTGAGCCCGGCGGAGCTGCCGGCGCGCAAGCTGCGTCTCAGCGCGGAGAAGCAATACTTCGGCGTGAGCGGGGAGAGCGGGAACCTGTACGTGAGCGAGAGGCTGGACCGGGAGGAGATGTGCGGCGAGTCGGCGTCCTGCTCCGTCAGCTTCGAGGCGCTGGTGCAGAACCCGCTCAACGTTTTCCACGTCGAGGTGGCCATCCAGGACATCAACGACAACGCGCCGACCTTCAGCAAGGCTGCTCTCGACCTCGAGATCGCAGAGTTGACGCTCCCTGGTGCTCGTTTTCCGCTGGAGATGGCCCGAGACGCGGACGTGGGCAGCAACTCTCTGCTGACGTACCAGCTCACTGGCAACCCGGCCTTCACTCTGGACGTCAAGGAGAGCCCGGATGGAAGCAAGTGGCCGGAATTAGTGCTGGAGAGAAAGCTGGACCGGGAGAAGCAGAGCTCCTTTGAGCTGGTGCTGACGGCGGTGGATGGCGGGGATCCCGTGAGGTCGGGGACTGTCCAGATTCGCGTCAACGTGACGGACGCCAACGACAACGCGCCCGTGTTCGGCAAAAGCCTCTACGAGGCCCAAGTGCGTGAGAACGTGCCGGCGGGGTCGCTGGTGCTGCAGGTGCGAGCCACGGATGCGGACGCGGGCTCCAACGGGCGGGTCTCGTACTCCTTCGGCAACGTCCCGGACGACGTCCGCGCCTTGTTCAGTGTCGAGAGCGAGAGCGGCGAGGTGAGGACAGTGGGGCCTCTGGATTTCGAGGAAAAGAGTAGATACAGCTTCGGGCTGGAGGCGAGGGACGGCGGCGGACTCACGGCTCACTGCAAGGTGCAGATCGACATCATCGACGAGAACGACAACGCGCCCGAGATCACGGTGTTGTCGGTGTCGAGCCCGGTGCCCGAGGACGCCCCCGCCGGCACCGTGGTGGCCCTGCTGAACGTGAACGATCCGGACTCCGGGGAGAACGGTCAGGTGTGGTGCGAGCTGTCGGGCGAGGCGCCGCTGTCGATCGTGGCGTCGTCGGGCGGCTCGTACAAGGTGGTGACGGCGAGCGCGCTGGACCGTGAGCAGGCGTCCGAGCACCGCGTGACGGTGGTGGCCAGGGACCGGGGCAGCCCGCCGCTGTGGAGCCGCGCGTCGCTGGTGCTGGAGGTGTCGGACGTGAACGACAACGCGCCGGTGTTCGAGGAGGCGGCCTACAGCGCGTACGTGGCGGAGAACAACGCGGCGGGCGCGTCGGTGGTGCGCGTGCAGGCGCGGGACGCGGACGCGGGCGCCAACGGCCGCGTGAGCTACTGGCTGGCGGGCGGCAGCGCGGGCGCGGCGGCGTACGTGTCGGTGGAGGCGCGGAGCGGCGCGGTGTACGCGCAGCGCTCCTTCGACTACGAGCAGTGCCGCGAGTTCTCGGTGGCGGTGCGGGCGCAGGACGGCGGGGCGCCGGCGCGGAGCTCCACGGCCACGGTGCGCGTCTTCGTGCTGGACCGCAACGACAACGCGCCGCGCGTGCTCTGGCCGGCGCCGGGAGACGCGGCGGCGTCGGGGGCGTCGGGGGCGTCGGGGCCGTTCGAGGTGGTGCCGCGCTCTGCCGAGGCCGGGTACCTGGTGGCCAAGGTGGTGGCGGTGGACGCGGACGCGGGGCGCAACGCGTGGCTGTCGTACGAGCTGGTGCAGGCGTCGGAGGCGGCGCTCTGTTCCTCC